CCCCAAAACCCCAAAACCCCAAAACCCCAACTTCATAAAAATAATAATTACAGCACCTATGGTACCCTTCCTTAACCCAACTGTTTTTCTGGCTTCTTTCCTTCTAACCCTAATTCCAGCTTCAAAATTCCAAAACAAGTAATTTTGACTCAAAATCCAAGATCAGATCAAGGTACCTTTAGTACTCATCTTAAGGAACTACTTCAAGCCATCGGACATAAAGACGACCAAGCTTGGCTTACCAGGAAAAGAAATAGCTGGCAGCTATGCTTCCAGGAGTTTCTTCTCACGGCTGAAATCAATGGGAATCAAGAAGAAGATTGACCAATTAGCCTTAGTAAGCCCTGGCCTCCGCCCAGGCTGACTATGTAGCTTAACCAATCGGAAGGTGATGTCCAAGAAGGCCTAGCCGTCTTTGCAAGCAAATAAGAAATTATCCTCACTACAGAACAAGTCGTTTATTAATTTTAGTAATGTTATGGACAAGTGAGAGCTCATGAATATGCCTTTTAGGGACCCAAGGATTATTGAGGAATCTAGTAGCACTCAAGAACTTAATCAGCCGTTCCAGAATGCCTCTATTCTTAGCTGAACCAAGAGTAGTTCAAATATAATCAAGATTATAGAAAGTTCAAGCGGACTTGCAGAGGAGAAGAAATTAATTGATAAATCTGATGGTCTACTCCAAGACCCCCGATATAAGACCAAAGTAGGTTTGTCGCCTCCTAATAAGGGACAGACAGTAAGATTCCATCTTGAATGTGTAGTCTCTGGGTAGAAAAGTTCCTAACCACCAGCATCTAACTGCTTCCCGGGATAAGATCAGTAAATCATATCGATAATCATCTTAGAAAATACTGAAAAATAAATTATCAAGGGGTCGAAATAAAAATGTATCGCTAAAAAAGTAACTCCTGAGAGTAAATCTTACAGAATTTTATCTAAAAACAACGACTATAACATAAAGGTTGACCTCGAAGTTCATCGTAATAATAGTTGTGAGAAGATAAGGTATTAATTCCCTCAACTTGAAGGATTAACCTCATAGAAACCCTTGCGAGGGGCTTACTCTTCAAGAGCCAGGTTGAGATAACTCCAAGATTAGCCTTTACAAGATCGAAGCGAGGTTACTCAGAAAGTTAGACGAAAGCAAGAGTAAATACTTTCTCAAAGCACTATTCACATTTAGGGTCTAAGCAGAGTAGTACCATTCAAACTGAAGTGAGAAGGTAGGTCCCTTAGATAACTCTGCAGTGCGTCAAACATCAAGCTAAAATAAGAGCAAGAAGCATATCTTCACACTTGGCCGAGAATATAGCCCTGTAAAAGAGAAATCAAGTATGCCTATTCCTAACACATAGAGGTTGGATGGCATAGCTTAGCTATAGCAGTTAATTGATAAGAACAACCTGATCAAGAAAACAGTCAAAATTTCCAAAGAAAGGCCAATTAATTTTCTTAAAAAGCCGCTGTATCTAAAGCGTAAACTAGGCAAGTAGATATTTCTGACCAAATACAGAGAAATCTAAGCCAAATTTGAAGAAAAAGGGGATGAAACATGTCCCAATTGAGATCCGTAAGTTCTTATAACCATAAATAGATGCCAAGAAGGTAATCTTTCATCATAATGCTGGGTAGATTTCTCCAAGACATGAATTTGTCACCCTAGAGTCCCAGAAGATGAGTTATAATGGGTCTCCATCAAAATCATCGACACATAATTACAACCTTTTAAACGTTGGGGTGTTTGAAATGCCACAATCTGATTTGCATAAAGAATATGTGAGCTTCATTGCTGAAGAGTCCTTGCCTCATATAGATGGGAACAAGAAGTCATATTTCCGAGTACCAAAGTACAAACCTCAGTAAGTGCCGTTGAGATAATCTCTAGTTCAAAGAAGTCAAGCAAGGAGAGGGAAGGAAGAGCGCTGTCAAAATTATCCCTTAAGAACGATAGGAATAGCTCCTTGCCAGCCGTCCCATCGATAGGCTCCTCAAAGGGTATCTCAATGTAGTTATGATCTAGGTCATAAAAACTTTAGCGTTGAAAGCCAGCTTTTAAATTTCAAATAAAATGTATGTTGCAAGACCTCTCAAGAATTTTTAGCAAAACTCAGGAAAATTCAATAGAACTCCTTCCTAAAATCAACGAAGATCTTTTTCTAAATGGGGTCAATCAGAATTACGAAAATTCGTAAGCCTTGAATCATCTCTAGAATCCCAAGCGAGAATGCAAAATCCATGATCCAGGGCAATAAAGAGGCTAGAAGAGAGGCGTCTAAACAAGTAGAAGCTCTTCCTAGCAAAGAAGGCAGAAATGTGATGTACTCAAAGATCGCAAAGTACTCCAAAGCTTCATAATTTAGAAGAAAAATCACTCCTCAGCACAAACGCGCAAGCACTGGAGGTGGTGACCTCACAGAAGAGAATTCAAGCTTTTATAGTAATGCCAGTAACATTTTCTGAAACCCTACTAGCAAAGTTGAGAGCAAGAAGGAAGCTGAATAGGCTTCCTCTTCTTCAGTAAATCTGTAGGCTATAAGAACTATCCAGCAACTGCCAGAATTATTTCAATATCCTCGAAATAAAATGGGGTTTTGGGGTTTTGGGGTTTTGGGG